TTGCTCCTAGTAGTAAGGCCAGCAGCCCCTAGTAGCGTCCTTGTTCCCAGTAGCGATGCCAGGAGCCCCTAGTAGCGTTCTTGCTCCTACTGATAATACCACCAGGAGCCCCTAGTGGCGTCCTTGTTCCTACTAGCGATGCCAGGAGCCCCTAGTAGCGTTCTTGCTCTTAGTAGTAAGGGCCAGGAGCCCCTACTAGCGTCCTTGTTCCCAGGAGCCTTTAGTAGCGTTCTTTCTCCTAGTAGTAAGGCCAGGAGCCCCTACTAGCGTCCTTGTTCCTAGTAGCGATGCCAGGAGCCCCTAGCAGCGTTCTTGCTCCTAGTAGTAAGGGCCGGAGCCCCTAGTCTTGGCGTTGTTTAGCAGTAGCTTGGTTGCTCTTGGGGTCTTCTTTGTTGCTAAGTTGAGTAATTTAAGGTGTGCATGATGGTGCTATTATTCAAGTAAAATAAGGTGTTGCTAAGTTGAGTTTAAAAAAAGGTGTGCGTGATGGTGCTATTTTCGTAAAAGGCGTTGCTAAGTTGAGTAAGAAGTGTGCATGATGTTGCTCAATTTAAAATAGGTGTTGCTAAGTTACTTAAGTTGAGGAATGCCGTCAAAGTACTGTCTGGTCAGCGTTGAGACCCTTCATTGGTTTGAGGTCCTGAAACATTCCAATGGCAATGAATCTGGTCCTGACCGTGTGACCAGTTAAGGATTGTTAATTTATCTATCAAAACAATCCACCTGAGTCATTCACATCCATGTGTTGACAGATCTGGTAATTGGTCCTACTATTTGACATAATATGACATATATGTTCTTTTCAGAACATAGTGTTGCCCAACTTTCCAGGTGATACCCGTGCATTGACAGTTTACAGAAAGAATAACCCCGAGCATAGTAGCAGCAAGGTCGCCCACCCCAGATGTCTTTTTTTGAACGAAAACACGCGTGGGGATTGTGATGAGTCCGAGACTGCGGTGATAAGTCCAACTTCGACACCTTGACTCATTGCAACCTGCTGGCGCCTCGGCAGGTTTTTTGGTTCAGAGAGTTTTGTCACCGCCGCGGCTGCATCCTGTGTACCTTGCCATGGAATCGTAGCCTCTCACCCTAATGGCCATCGACGATGTTGAAGGACATGTTGGACTTGTCTACGGACAGGTCTGATTAAGATCCAAGGTCCACGGACCAAATTGAATGAACCTCTAAGGAGGTATTGACGACAATGTCCACGGACATAATAACATTATAGTCTGTCTAAGGACAGATCTGCGCTTGTCTACGGACAGTCTACAGACACCTCAGGACGGACTCACTTGTCTCGGTAATGTCTACGGACACTCATCATCCCATGACAGCGTCTACGGACAATGTGACTGTCTACGGACATGTGTGTTTCAAGTCAGCTCACTCTCGAACAATTTGCTGCTGTATTTAGATGAGATCAGTACTTTGGAAAAAAGGCGTCGATGTGCGCTGCCAGCCACTACTAATGTCGCAGTTGAGGGTCGTCGCCGAAAGCATTGACAATTCAATTGTAACTTTCTGTCAGGGGCTGAAGGGCTTGCAATCGCGCAACACAAGCAGTGATTTGAAAATGATTTTTGCATCCGCCAAAGCCACACTGATGACCAATAATTAAGCATCCTAGTATCCTGTCAGAATCAGATGCAATGTGCAAGTTCGTCGCTCTCCAGGGTTTCCTTCTTCGCGCCATGGGAGACTCTCGCGACAAGTTGAAGCACTTGATTCCAGGTAAGCTTGTCACTGAACACACCCAGACTTGCAAGCTAGGAGTGCACAAGTGCAGCTTGCGCGCCGTGCAGCAGGCATGGTCGCTTTACAAGAAGCCATGGCTGAGAGTGCTCTTGGTGGAAGGGGAGTCCAAGCTCGGCTGCAGCTTCTGCGCAAAAGCCGGTCTGGAGGGGCCATGGGCCAACTTTGAACAGCTTCCGAGTGCCGTGCTGAAGAAGTTCAACTTAGAGAGGCATGAGAAATCCAAGGGACACATGACAGCAAGTCAAGATGATAGTCTTGGCGCCGCCCCTAGCGAAGAGACTTTCAAGTCAAGTTTGCAGGCTATGACCCAAGGACAATCTGCGAGACAAGGTGGCGGATCGTCGGACAAGAAAAGTCAAGTGCGGTATGCCCTGTCGGAAGCAGTTTGCGCTCGCAACAGGACTTTGCTGGCAGACTCTCGCTGCATCTCTCTGATGAGAGACGAACGCAAAGGAAGACTTCTTGTGCGCTTCCGCGCTGTTCTACAGGATTTAACCACCATCAGTGGCGCGCTTGGCTTGCTGCCTGTGACAGGTTCTGCTGAGTCCATAGCTGAAACAACTGCTGAAATCATGCAGAACTTCTGTGTACCAATGCGGCAACCGCCCAGACAAAGCAAGGTAAGTGAGCAGCCAGTTGACTTAGAACTTCTACGGAAGATTCAGGACAGGGTCACCATGGTGGCCAGCGACGCTGCCGCCGCCGAACTTTTGGCGGGTGACTTAGAGAGAGGGCGCCGCGCGGCCGCGACCGACTTTCAATCCAACTTTCGGAATTGCAAGGTCGTCGGCAGGGACGCGGCGCATGCGTCCACCCGGCTCCTGAAGCGACCGTTCCTGGCGCTCTCACCTGTCAAAATCTTGGTTGACGAATGGATCCATGGGTCTGAAAGCTTCGCTCAGAAGATACACCACAGCCAGATTCTCAGCCAGTGGTGGGCCAAGGCCGTCCAACGCCAAGAGGATTCCGACTTGAGTGGAAATGCCTGCACCTCCATCAGTGCGGCCAAACATAGGTTCTCGTCGTATCTGAACCCGCTGAGCCGTATAATTCGGAACATGCAAGCAGCTTTCAATGTGTGCGGTAGGGTCCAAGCCATGCGAGGTGCCGAGGCCACTTGGGCAAGCAAGCTCTGCCAAAATTTCACTTCGTTCAAAGCAGCTTTGCTTGCAATGATTACCGACGCTGCAGCTATCAGCGACGACTACACCAGGGGATGTGACCGTGAAGACACTGACGTTGCTGATTTGAACTTACGCGCCAGCCATTTCGTCCTCTCGGCGAGGTCTCTCTTCGTCGACCGGAAGGTGTTGACACTACCCACTTTCACGAAAGAATTCTTGGATAGAAAAAGTCCAGTGACCATTATTCAGGATGGATGTGCCTTGGAAATCAAAGTTTCGCGCCGAGACTTGGACAGGGCTTTTGCAATCATGGAGGACCCGGCGCTTGAGCCGAGCTTTGTTTGGGGGGCGCGAGGTTGAGTGCCATTCTTTTTTAAACGACAAAATCATATACTTTAAATAATAATAGACAATTTTGTCGTAGTTGCAGCCTGCTGCAGGAATGGGTGGCTCTTGTGGAGGAAGTGGTGGCGCATGAGTTTCCGAGTTGGCACTTGGCGGCAGCATTTCAAATCTTTCATTTGTCCGACTGCGTCAGTGGCCGTGACTGCAGCGCAGATGTTCTACGGAACTTGGAGAGGCTGGCCAAAGTCTATTCGGTGCCTTATGAAGCACTGAAGCAAGAGTATGCTCGCTTGCTACCCATTGCTGCGGCTTTGAAGAAGCAAGCAGGTTTGAGCAACAGAGAAGCATGGAGGGAAGCCCTTCATCGCACAAGCAGTCGGAAAGGCGCCCAGGCCACGGCCTTGATACAAGTCCTGGCAGCTTACCTATGCTGGACCGCAGCCACGAGTGGAGTGGAGCAACAATTCTCGAAGCTCAAGAGAAGTCCTGTCGAACTGAGCAACGCCTCCGTGGACACAGATCGCCGCCTTGCCATTGTTGTTGGCGATTGTCAGGCCACGAGCCCCGCAGTGCAACCTGAAGTGATTCGAGCCGCTCGACTAATCTACTCTTCCCTTTTATCCAGTGGAAGGTCCCGCCCGCGGACAAAACCAAGGTTCGATTGCGGCGTGAAAGCCAAAACGAAAACCGGATCTTTTGCCGACTGGAACCGCACAAGAAAGAAAGCAGTGCTGGAAGCAGTGCGAAAATGTCAAACACCTCCTCGGAAACCAGCCGAGCTGTTGACGGAGTCTTCCCTAAAGGAAAGAAATTTCCAGAGAAAACACAGTCTGAAACGAAAGGCTGAGGCTTTGGCCGATGGCTGCTTGTTGTCGGATGAGATCACCCAAGAGGTTCAGGAAGAGGCCCTGCGACTGACCAAGGCAAACCAAAAAGGTGATGAACTCAGGAAGAAAAGCAGACAGGAATACGAAGTCACTGGTAAGTTGACATCCACGAAGAAAAGTCACGAGTGGGCCTGCCAAGCTCTCAGTGGCCCAGCGTGGTGTTGCTCCAAGATGGAAGGTGGCAAGGCACAAGCAGTGTCTCAAGCTTTGACCAAGCATGGGGTTGCGACGAGAACCCAGGACCCTTGCTTCTTGTTGCTCGATTGCTTGCCACTATACTTTCAAGCATCTGAGTCTGTCTAATTTAATTCAACTTTTCAAACTTATGTTCAGGACCTGCGGGAAGCCAGACTCTTCGTGGTGTCAAACTTCAACAATGTGGAAAGAAAAGTGCGTTTCATGGCCGCTCTGAGTGGATCTGTCTTGATGTCAGCCTCAGCATTGCTTGGAGGAGCAGGTGTCAAGCTGACGTTTCACCCGGGTCAGGACATACACGTAGCAATCTTCGTGACTGACACTTTCAAAGCCGAAGAGCCTTGCGTGACGATACTTTTACGTGAAGCCTGCGCCCGTGGGTGGCAGGCAGTGAGGGCGGAAGATTTGAAAGGCCGGGGGCGCAAGCCCAGTCTCCATCTCAGGGGTGCGGGGGAGGCCATCCCAGCTGGTTTCAACCAAACCAGGGTGAAATGTTTTACTGCCGACGAATTCTTGCGTTGGCTCACGGCAACTTGTCTCAACAAGCAGGCAAGCTCCCGTGTGAAGATAGCAGCTCAGTAATAGGGACTCTGAGCAGTCTGTCTTGGAATAATCCTGCAGCAGGGGACCCTTGCGGGAAAACAGCGCTTTTTCGTTTATCATGGCCTGCAAGTGTCATGACCGTCATTGAGTTGCCGCGTTGAATTCATTTACTTGCCGCGCGTTGAACTGTGGTCGGCAAACTTCTGACCTGGAAACTGAAAGATCAATAATTAATTATCGTCACGTGAACTTTTACAAAGACAGCTGTGACAGTATTATATTATAGACTTTGCAGGGCGGGCCAGCCAATTTTAAAGCAGCCATCTTCGGGATAATATCCGATGTAAATATAATACTGTTTAGTTTTCATTCATTGGCATTGGCTTGCTTGTCTTCTGACCCTATACTTTCCGCTGTCACAGGAGGGTCGTGTCTGCAGCTATTTTTAGGTTCCCAGTCTCAGCCAACAGACGCAGGAAACCCGGCCATGCAACGTTTGCAGACATACCAAGACGCGTGCTTCCTTGCCTGTGAGAGTCGAGAAGCCCTCGTGTTATATGACGACCTGCATGACAGACTCACAGCCAGCCCCACCCTCATCCAGGAACTCGGCCTGGAGCAGGCCGAGGTTGAAAGAATTTATTGGGGGCTCAGGCGAATCAGCGATCGATCATGCGATTACATGAACAAACTGGCCTTGGAAATCGGACAAGACCTTCCCCAGCCAGTGGCGCAAGCTGAGGGGTCGCAAGAAGAAGGAAAGAAGCCTGCGGGCCGTCCAGGAGCTGAGGATGGGAACAAGGCGCCTGCAGCTGAGGCTGCGGCGTCGGAAGTCCGCCTCAGTCTTGATGAATGCTGGCAAGTAGCAGAGGCAGCCCACTCACATCTACCTTGGGTGTTTGAAAGCGTTTTGCTGCCCGCCAAGCCAGACGCGGATTCACAGGAAGTTTTGGTTGAAACAACCACTGGAGAAAAATAGCTACGGCTCGATGAATTACCGCGTCTACGGACGTCTGGGTTTTGCAATCGATGGCGTAGGCCTTAGTCAGACTTAGTAGTCTTGCTTCTGACGCACAATTTTGGAACAGCATCGACGAGAGAGACCACTGAAATGAAAGGAGTGAAAACTTGAATTGATCTCATGCTGTGGTGTTGACGACCTGATTCATTCTTGGTCACTGTCACTTCAATCACTCGACTGTGTTTTCATGTCAATTTTCGATTACTTTTACTGGTTTGACAGACAAAACAGTTATTAAAATATTTGCAGTCATGGCAGTGACTAGTTTCAGAGTGACTGTCAGCAATCCGTGACGCTGTTGCATTGTATTCCGCAGCCGTTTCCATTCAAACAGAAATGACAAAAGGCAAGTCGTCGAGCCCGTCTTCCAGCAAAGCGCCTGCTCTCAAGAGGCCTGGCCCAAAACGGACGATTCAAAAGAAAGTCGTCGTGGTCAGCCAGGAGGAGCTACGCTTGCAACTTGAGCGAGTTAACTTTTTGGCGTCCAACTGGCTCACCCGATTGGACAGGCACAATGACAAGGCCTCCAGGAAACAGAGAGTGCTTCAAACTGCATCAGACTGTTCGGGCCACGGCTCGGACCTGATAGCGTACAGGCTTCTGGGGCTGCAAAACCAAGTGCAGCCCGTCATGATGTCAGAGGTCAGCCCACACAAGGTGTTGTTGCACCAATCTGTCGCCCAAGAATGTGGCTGGAAGTACAACGACCACCAAGTCATTGACATGTTTCTACGGAAAGAAGAAAGCATGAAACCAGCAGACGTTTACGTCGCTGGCTATCCGTGCCCGTCGTATTCCAAGTTAGGAAAGCGCCAAGGCGTCTCTGACCAGCGGGGTCTTTTGACCTTGAAAGGGTTGGAGTATGTGGCGTTGCGCAGACCCAAGGTGGTGGTGTTGGAACAGGTCCAAGCCATTCTTGAGAAGAAGCACTCGAAAATTTGGAATTACATTCTCAAAATTTTGAACAAGCTCGACTATGCGTTCGATCACAAAGTCCTGACTACCCAGGACTTCGCCATACCCCAATCGCGCCCCAGAGTCTACATTCTCGCAGTGGCCAAAGAGATTTGCGCTGGAACAGTGAAGTTGCCGGAGAAGCGGTCAGAGAAGGTCGACTTACACCACTTCATCCAAAAGGACCAGGCCGGCTCCGAGGTGTTGCAACTGCCCAAGTACGAACGACTTTTAGGTTCCGCCATGTGGAGCAAGGGATATATCCTGGATGTCGGATCTTCGGAAAAATTCCAAGCAGTGATGACAAACTGCGCACCGTGCCTGACGAACACACGCTTGGGGCAAGGAGGATATTACATCCCAAAACTTCGGCGCCGCTTGCTGCTTGAGGAAGCTGCTGCACTACAAGGAGTGCCAAAGAAAGTCGTCAAAGCCATGCAAAGGGCGGCCGAGAAACACAAGCTTCCTGCGCGCACAGTGGAAGCAAGCCTTGGCGATGCAATGAGCATCAATGTCTTGGCAAGTGTGTTGATGAAAGGATTAACACACGCTCGCTTAATTCAGTTCAGTGCACAGGACGACCATTGGAGACTAGTTGCCAATGGTCCGGACGCTGCAACGCTGAGTGACCGCCAGTTCCACCGAACAGCCCAGCCGGGACCAGGTCCCAAATGAAGCTCCTCACACCTTTTTCCCCGGCCGCCCAGTAAGAGGAGTGAGACCTCCTCACTCCCCTTACCCACTCCCAGCCCAGGCCAGACTCGGGTAAGGATAGTAGGGGCTGTCGTAAGCATACTGGGGCAATCACCACGCCATCACGGCCGCATGTTTTGTCACTATCCTTACCCACTCCCAGCCTAGGCCAGACTCGAGTAAGAGGAGTGAGACCTCCTCACTCCTCGTACTCATGCCCGTTGCAGCGGGAAAGAGCGGTGCCTACTAGTCTTACTCGGAATCCCAGCCCGGGCCAGGAGCGGGTAAGCCGCACGACGTTTAGCGGTTGCACGACCACTGTCCTTACCCACTGGATTCCTGATTTAACAAATTATATCAAGTAATTATTGAATGTTGAATGTCAGCATCCTCGCATTTGGCATTTCTCACTGATCTGTTTTCACTTTTGCGCTGTTGGCTTAAGTCTTTTTGAAGGAAGTTGTTGACAGACACGTTGCTTGCCACTGCCGTGCGATGACCTCGGACATCCGGAACATTTCCGCATGGCGCTTGAACAAGGCTGAACTGAAAGAGCTCGCCGAGAGGACTGAGAAAGGAGAAGACCAAGCAACCGTGAAAAGGGAACTTCAAACAAAGAAGGCCGTGTTGTGCGAAGAACGTAAGCAGGCGGCCTTGGCGATTGCAGCCAAGCCTGGACCTACGGGTCCCAGCGCGAAGGCAAGTAAAAAAAAGACGCCGACAATGGCAAGTGAGTCAGCCACGGCTGCTGCGATCCGGCACACAGACCCAACGAACGCAGCGTACTACGCTCTGGTGGAATCGGACCTTGACACCATTTTGAAGGAGTGGCCAGGCATTGACAAGGAAATGCCACTCGCACTGTCCAAGTCCGAGTCAGATGGATCCAAGACTGGGGTTCAAGAACCCTTTGACCTGGCCAAAGCTCAGAATGCCCTTGGGCTTCATGGAGTGTATCGCTGCAGCATCAGTCTGTTCTGGGTTCAGATCTTGGCTTCGCCCACCCCAGGCGTTCCAATGAGCCGTCGGAGAGTTGAAGACATGGCAGAGTTTTACTTCCCTGGCGGCAAACCAAGTTTCCTGACGGGCCGCATGGTAGAGCTTCTGACCGACAAGGCGTCTTTGAGCGACAAGCCCCAGAGTTGCCAGATGCTGTCGCCAGAAGAGATTGTGCATTCGCTGGTGGCTTCCTGTGCTGCCGCAGTTCGGTTCCTTGGCCAAAGTTAAGTATTATTTAGTATGATTTTACCCATGACAATACATAGCAAGACTGACTAAGATTCACCGGACATCCAGGCGCAAGGACGAGCTCTCGGAGGATCAGTGGACTGAGTGGAAAGCACAGTGGCGGGCAGTGTTGCTGAGCGTGCCGGCTTCCTTTGTCGAGATCAAGGACCCTCTGCATGGCCACAATGTGTGGGTGCAGGCCTTCAACCGGAGACAATCGGTGAAGCAAGAGCATGAGTCCATGAGCAGGACGGCAATGCAGATTGCCGTGGAAATAGACCAGTTCAAGACTATGTGCGAGAGCTTGCCCACCTGTAAGACAAAATTGCAGCCACCGCAACTGGTACAGGAGCTGCTTGGACTTGGCCTCCAGCCTGTGCAGGGAGGCAGAAAAGAGGACGACAGCGATGGCAAAATCACCGTCAACTTGGTGACACAAGCTCTGGCCGTCAAGAAAGGCATTCTTTCCTCTTCGCGGGCAGTTGAGCTACTGCTGGAGCTGGAAGCGTCCTACGGGACACGTTCCCCCTTCCACGCTATGAGTCGGCTTCACATTCTGTCCACCAAGCCGAGCACAACTCAGATGCGCGACTGGGTGTTAGAGAGCGCGCGGGATGGGCTTGCCTACGATCTCTTGCAGATCGGAGAGATTTCCAAGGGCAGTCTGAGCGGAGACAAGCATCACACCGGGCTCGTCGCACTGTTCGAGTTGAAAAAAAGGCCGGGCCCACAATGTGACAACACAACAATTCAGTGTATTTGAGTCAATGTACCATGTTAGTTTTTGACAGGTCCTGGACCACTTCTTCGATGTCCTTTTGCCGAAAAGCGGTATGGCAGAGGCTGACAGGTTCTTGCTGAAGGAGAAGCTGTCGACCCACGAGATTTACCGTCAACATAGTGGCTCCGACGGAGATTGCAGCTGGATGGCACGACTTAAGAAAAGCGCCATCGAATGCTTTCACTTGTTGGAGGAGACTGTCTTGATTGAAATAGTTTGTAATTCATGGTTTTTCATTTCATTGCCAACAGTCTAATTGATTTAAATCCTGTTGATGCCCATCCCAGGACTTGACCTACAACAGAAAGTATGACCACACCCTGCGGCAAGGTGCGAAATCTGGAGGGACTTTAGAGGCTGTGATGGAGCACGATCAGGTGAAAGAACAGGTGGAAAGGGTCCTGGCCATGTTGAAGGACGAAAGCATTGGCTGAATCGACAGCCGCAACTACAGACCCGGACCATGCAGAGGACGAGCTTCAGGAGGTGCGAAAGCCGCCGAGCCAACACTCAGAAGGATCTGACAAGTATTGGAAGGCGGTCGGCAACCAAACTGTTCGAACTTACTGCACACTCCATGTGCAACCCAAGACATTGGATGGCATGATCAGTTTGGTGAGCCAAAGTGGTTTGAAAGACTTCCAAGGAGAAGGAGGTGTCAGCTGCGTTCTGACCCACCTTGACATGGACGGTATGGGAGAATCCCTTGGCCCAGGTCAGAGACCGCTTCTCCGAAAGCGCTTTATGCCCAACCAGTCCTGTCTCAGAAATTTGTTGCATGGTTCCATGATTGCAAGAAATGGACAGCGCAAAGAGGACGAGTGCATGGTTCCGACAGAGGGCGAATTGGTGTTCGTGCACTGCGGCTTTGAGCGCACCACCAAAGAGGCAGAAGCCTTGTTCCGACCGGCTGCAGCCAGAAAGGATCAGGCCATTGAAGCAGAAATGAAAGAGCTTCTCCTGGTGTTTTCTGATGCCAGCATCAGGAACCGCAAACTTCGGGTTCGAGGGGCTTACTCATCCAGGTCCACCGCCTGTCTCTTTTCAGGAGCCCCAGTGTCAACCATGGTTCCGGAGAAGCCTTTTGGCGACTTCTCTGGGTACAACTTTGGAGATGTCTTCGGGACCATTGCCGCCCTGCAGCCGGAAGACCTTTGGCATCTCAGTAGGACCCGGCCGGCCTAGTGTTTAAAAAATAAATTCATCCACGCCAATTATTTCTGCCTGACACGTTTTGCAGGAAAGAAAAGGAGGAGGTCCTCACCACTGACAGGTGCGTCTCGCTGACTGACGCCGCAGCGAGCAAAGGCAAGGAAGCTTCGAGCGAAAGTGTGTTCAGCGCCGCTGTGCTGCCGTGCTCTTTCTACAGAAGCTTTCTTCGAGCCCACTCTGTGAAAGCTGTGTTTCTAGGATGCAATGTAACATCTTAAATAACCACTACTAGTGAGTTTCATACTGCAGCTTCCGTCACGTATTTCAGGTTGGACCTCAGCGCGTCTCAGGGAGAGTTGGCCAAGGCCTGTGTGTCCGAGCGCATCAGCTACCTGGGGCTGACGCTTTCTGACGCGCATTCCAGTCAGCTGGAAATGATTTTGACCAACTTTGTCGTCACTCAGATGCAAACGGAAGGCTCGACTTACTACCGCTCAGAGGCTGCGGCCCAAGGTAACCAGAAGGTGGGCCCAAAGGGCCCAAAGCGCAAAAACGAAAGTACCAAAGAAGAACGCCCCAAGGCCAAGGCCAAGGGCAAGAATAAAAACAATGAGCAGACCAAAGACGACGACAAAGCTACGGCACCTGAAGCAGGAGACGACGACAACGCTGCTGAGGACGGTGAGGACGCACTTCCGTGGTAGGCAGAGTCGTCAACAGACTGAGAGGTTTTCTCGTCTTCGCCGCGGCAAGTTTAGGTCCTTGGCTGGTCCATAGACGCAACAAAAACATGAAAAAGTAGGTTGTATTTTTCCAAAGGCAGCCAGCCAAGACAGCCAAGACATTTTGGAGACCCGTCGGCCAACCCACTGACTCAAACTCGGGGTGGAAAAAAGAAGCAAATTTAGCGATTGATGGCTTAGCTGGCTTAGTCGCGCCTGATTCGGCATGATTTAAACCCTTGGCTGCCCAGGTGCTTTGGCTCAAGTCAAGTCGGCGCGTGGAGGAGCCCACCACTGAGAACAAGGCAAGGAATGGCAAATTTATTTCACCGCCGCATTTTGATTAATATTAACTTACCCCCGCCACCAAATGACAAATTTGTACAGGACCCAATAATTCAAGAATCATTGTCCTCCCCCACTGCTGCCAGGCTGATGACTGACCGTTCTGGCCGTGGCGACCGCCGTGACCGTGATCGCCGAAGAGACGAAGAGAAACGGGGTCGAAGCCGTGACAGACGGGCAAAAAAGACGAACCGAAGCAGAGACAGAGAGCGGCGTGGCAGGGACGAGGAGACTGACAGGTCTCGCAGCAGCAAGCCTGTCCTAGTCCCAGCGCAAGCTGCTCCGGCTCCTGCTCCGTCTGCAGAGGCTGCAGCTCCTGGAGAAGCTGAGGCGACTGAACCGCCGTCGCACGACGACGAAGAAGGTGAAGAATCAGAAGACTGTGTTATGGACCCAACAGTCTCAGTCGACGACCTGCGCCCTGTAAAGCACGCCGTGCCAGAGGCTGGCGAGGCAGCCCGTCCAGGTCCAGCCAAGGCTGAGACCAGCACTCGGACCACCGCGACGCACATGCGCTCAGGTGGCCCGCCTCAGCCTCACCAAGGTGAGACGAAGCGTGACCACGGTCACAAAACTGGTGAGAAGCGTGCCCAAGGTCACAAGCCTGGTGAGAAGCGTGACCAAGGTCACAAGCCTGGTGAGAAGCGTGACCAAGGTCACGAGAAGCGTGACCAAGGTCACAAACCTGGTGTGAAGCGTGACCAAGGTCACAAACCGGAGTCGAAGCGCAAAGACGAGTCTCACCAAGGTGACAAGGCTGACCAAGGTGAGAAGCCTCAGGGTCAGACCGACGACGACAAGACTGGTCGGTATGAATGCAGTGTCTGCAACCGCGTGGTCGGAGGTGGAATTGCCGGCTCGTGGCAACATCGCCGGTCACCTTACCATTTAGCTTGCTACCACTACTGGAACCACAATGAGACGATTCGTTGGAAGAATTGTCTCGAGGAAGGGCAGCGCTGGAGCAAGCACTGCTGGTCGACGAACACCACAGGTCCGGAGGATGACACGCTGCCCAACAAGCCAAAGAAAAAGCAAAGGTCTCCAGTTCCAGTGAGAAGCGAAGTAGACACGAAACGTTCCCGCTTTGACAAAGACCACCAAGGAGACCCTGGCCCGGACGGAGGAGCAGGGTCCTCCGGCAGGAACTTGCTGCTGCAAATGTGGCAAGCCACTTTAAAAGAGCTGATTTAGAAGGTTTTTTTGAAACCGGCCGGCGCAGTCTTCCCACCAAACCAGACAACGAGAAGATGAAAAAAGATGCATCCCTGCTGCCATCTTGTGTGAAGGGTGAAACACTCATATTAATTAAGACTCACTGACGGTTGTCTACGTGTCAGGTTTGAAGGGTTATTATTAAACACTTGATTTGTCGTTTCTACTCAGCTGTGTCTGGCTCAAGCGTAAGCGACGGCGACTCTCGCGAGTGCTGGCCCGACAAGGTGGGCGCCCTGGGGGTCATCGCAATTAGAATCCACACGACATAATAATTAAATTAATATGTAAATTAACTTAATCATGTCAGGACCAGGGATCCATGTGACATTGAATCGTCCATGGACGACGACATCCTGTCAATCTTCAGTCCACGGACTCCCAGTCGACAAAGGTCTAAGGACCAGAGTCTACGGACTCCGGATTCAGGGGAAGTCTACGGACTTCAACGGTCAGAGTCTACGGACTCCAGCGAAAGTCTACGGACTTCAATGGTCAGAGTCTACGGGCTCCAGCAGGGAAAGTCTACGGACTTCAGTCAGGTCAGTGTGAGTCTACGGACTCCAGGCAAATGCTTATTGTTTTTAGGTGCAAACATTTATAAATTGACATTTATTTTAAATCCCCCATCGTCGTCGTCATCTCGCCATCGTCGCTGCCAGGCAATGGCGACGAACAAGGACAATGACCGCCGGGCACGCCGCGAACGCGGCCGCGACTATGAGCGGCGGCGAGATGATGACAAGAAAAAAATAAGAAGCCGAAGCAGAGACCGGCGGGACCCCTGTCCTCGGGAGACCTGCCGCCGCTCATTGAGCAAACCTGTCTTGACGCCGGCTCCGTCCGAAGCCGCGGCTGCGACCGCGGCGCCGCCAGAGCCACACACCGCCGCCAACCCGCTGCCGCCTCCATTGGGTTCCGGGAAAACAGACAAGTCAATGGACCTTGACCACGACGACGCTACTGAGTCCATGGAAGAGGAACAGGGTGACGACGACCCTGGACAACAACCAGCTCAGCCTGATCCTCGCACCTTGCCTGCAGGCAATGAGTCTGCCACCCCTCCACCCAAGGGTGACGGTGGTCCAGCCACAGCGGCTGACAAGACTCACGCTGCCACTGCACTTGTCAAGGCCGACGGTGGCCCAAGGGCCACCGCCGACCAGAATGACAAACACAAGCGACGACAGATGTGGCCGCGTCGTCGGCGGGGGACCAGCAGGTTCGTTCCAGCACCGGAGATCGCCGTTCAATTGGGTTTGGCACCAGTCAAAGGACAAGCAGCGCTCCTGGCAAGCTTGTCTCCAAGATGGCAAAAATTGGAGGAAGCTCCTGTGGCAGAAGGGGGCTATACTGGCCCACCTGACAACGACGAAGATGAGATCCAGCGTCAGAGCTCCCCTCCGCCAACAGATGACCACGACCTTGGCCGTCGTGACCATGACAAGAAGGTACCCGACCCTGGCAGTGGAGCAGGCGCAAGTGGCAAGTGGTCTGATATCATACTCCAGCTGTGGCAGGCTACTTTGCGCGAGCTCCGATGATAAGTCGGCAAGGCAATGACGAACTCTTCCTCGACTGAGCGTGGAAAAAGAATCGCTTAGCGTCGCTGCTGCGTGGCTTTGGGAAACATAATTGACCAATCAACCCTGGTGAACCCAGTGACCACTTTAATTTAGTCGGCCTTTAATTTCGTAGGTGGGAGGCGACGGTTTTCTGTATCAGGATTGATGCGACGAAATTCAGGAACATAATTACCATGCCTAATGTTCAAAAAGCTATAAAACCACCCTCAAGCCATTGGGCCCGGGTGACCTTTTGTACTTGAGCAACGCCTCTTACTCAACTTAGCAACACCTATTAACTTGAATAGCGCCATCATGCACACCTTTAAATAAATAATTACTCAACTTAGCAACAAAGAAGACCCCAAGAGCAACCAAGCTACTGCTAAACAACGCCAAGTAGTAGCGTCCTTGTTCCTAGTAGCGATGTGAGGA